GTTCTTTCATTTCTCAAATTGAACCAAAGAATTTTAAAGATGCCGAATTTGATAAGTTTTGGATTCTTGCAATACAAGAAGAATTAAATCAATTTGAGAGGAATCATGTTTGAAATTTGGTTGATAGACCTAATAATCAAACCATCATTGGTACAAATTGGATTTTTCGAAATAAACGAGATGAAAATGATATTGTTGTGTGTAACAACACTAAATTAGTGGCCCAAGGTTATAATTAAGAAGAATGTATAGATTTTGAAGAAACCTTTGTACTGGTTGTTAGATTAGAATCTATTCGCATGCTTCTCGCTTTTGCTTGTTGTGAAGACTTTACTCTCTATCAAATGGATGTAAAAAGTACATTTTTAAACGGTTTCATTTATGAAGAAGTTAATGTTGAACAAACTCCCGGTTTCAAAAATCAAAAATTTCTGGAAAACGTGTTTAAACTTAGAAAAACTCTATACGGTATGAAACATGCTCCTAGAGTTTGGTATGAAAGATTGAGTAAATTTCTTATCTCAAATGGTTTTCAAATGAGAAATGCAGATACTACACTCTTTATCAAAACCAAAAATGATGACATGATTGTTGTGCAAATTTACGGTGATGATATTATCTTTGGTGCACTAATATTTCCCTTTGTGAATAGTTTTTAAAATGCATGAGCCAGGAATTCGAAATGAGCATGATAGGAGAACTAAAGTTCTTTCTTGGACTTCAAATCAAACAAACTAATGAAGGCATCTTTATTAGCCAAACAAAATACATCATAGGCATGCTCAAGAAACAAAATTCCGTTGCACTATCAATCTCCGAAGCCGAATACATATCGGCCGCTAGTTGTTGTGCTCAAGTTTTATGGATGAAACAAACCCTTAACGATTATCACTTAACATTTGAAAATACTCCTATTATGTGTGATAACAATAGTACTATAAATTTGTTAAAAAATCTCATCTTGCACTTTTGCACAAAACATATCGAAATTTGACATCATTTTCTGATAGATCATGTGCAAAAAGGTGATATTTATTTGGAGTTTGTAAGTATCGATAAACAATTGACCGACATTCTTATCAAACCTCTAGCTGTCGATAGATTTTCTTACATTCGTAGAGGCTTAGGTCTTATCGATGAATCTGAGATTTGTGGTTAAATGTGTTTAAAACAAAAATTGCATTCAGTATCTTTCGGTTGACCAATTTCATAATTTCGGTCGATCGAACCTAATCTACCGAAACAGACTGATGCTCTCAAAACTGTATTTTTCAGAATTTCGATCATTTTTCAGAATTTCGCTCGACTGATGCCTTTCGATCTACCGAAATTCCAGGAATTTTCGGTCCGAAAATTCTCGGTCGACCGAAAGTTCCTGAGTCGATCATTTTTTTTTTGTTGTTTTGTCTTTACACCAGAACTTTTCTTTTACAAGCTAGAACTCATCCCCAATTTCTTCAGCCCTAAGGTGCGATTTTTTATCTCTATCTCACTCTTCAATTGTCACAACTTTCATCTTTCACATCAAAACCACTTCAAATTTTCACCAAATCTATCACATTAATCATACTTTCTCATAAAATCTCAAGCTTTTCTTCTATTTTTCATTAAGAAAATTCAAAATTTGGATTTTTGAGTTCATCACTAAAAAATCTTGATTTCTCTTCAAAAATTCATTGCAAATTGTTTTTAAGCATTAATNAGAGAAAGGTATCAATGTATTTTTCATTAAGAAAATTCAAAATTTGGATTTTTGAGTTCATCACTAAAAAATCTTGATTTCTCTTCAAAAATTCGTTGCAAATTGTTTTTAAGCATTAATCCACTTCAAAAGTTTGTTACCCACTCTTTCCCCATCATTTTCCACTACTTTTCTCAACAAATTTTGAAAAATCAAAAATTTCTCTCACTAAAAATCGGAAATTCCGAAAACAACCATGCCTCCAAGGAAAAAATCAAAGAAAGGCGAAGCAAGCTCGTCAAATGTTGAAGATGACACACCCATGCCCGACCGTTTCAACGATTGTCCCATTCTAATCGGTAAGTCAATTGATTTCTTTGAATTCTCTACAAAAGCTCCTTCACTTAGGATAGAAGATTATTTTGAGAATATTGGGTGGACAAATGTGGTCACTATCTCGAAAAATATCTATCATAATTTAATTCGTGAATTTTACCTAGATCTCTCATTTTACTCACTCCATGTCACTTGCATTGTTAAAGAGAAACGAATTGCACTCGATAGATATATCATTAGAGAAATCCTTAGGTTAGGGAAATGTGAAAACCTTGCTTATATTCATCATTATCCCATTAGGTTTGAGGGCTATGACGAACTCGAAGCTTGTTGTCGAGTCACCGATCGATCACTATCCACCACAATGATCTTAAACCTACGTCACCTTACTATACCATGCAAAATTCTTCACGTCCTATTGATCATATAATAGTCACTCGGAGTGGACATTTTGAAGAGGTTCATAACCTCAACTTGTTCATTCTTGTTTCCTTTCTTGTTGGTCGTCAATTTGATTTTCCCTACCTCTTTTTCAAGCACATTTGACATATCCACAAGTCTCCTAGAGCCCTAGGCTTACCTTATGGCATGCTTCTTACAAGAATCTTTCAACATTTCAATATGCCATTAGACTATGAGCCTTTTCTTAAGCCCAAACACACAAGTGTCATTAATCTCAACACTGTTAAACGCATGGAAATAGTTAAAGGCAATAGGCAATGGGTGTGTCATACTCAAGGCTTCGATAATAACTCGGGGCCTACTACTTGGCCAATCACTTTAGAAGAGGCAAAATAAGAAATGGATGGGTGGTCATGGTGATGAAGATGATGATTCTCCTCGAGCACAACGCAGGGGTCTTACTCCACAAGTAGCACCAACACCCGGCCGGTATATGACCGAAGACCATTTCAACATCCTACAAGGCTGGATTGATTCTTTTACTACTACCGTCAATGCACTTGATCAACGAATGGAGCAAAT